TTACCTGGACTGCACTCATTTATTATGCTACTTAAGAGTTCAGAATGCCATTTTCTATTATAAGGTTCCAACAACTTGTGGAAGAAAAATACTCACACAATCACAGATTCCACATCATACAAAACAGTGGGATTGAGGTACTTTTCTAAATATTATTCCTCTGCCTTTTTCAGAATTCACTCACATTTTTGCAGTGGAAAAGCTCAAAGTCTCATATTTATAACATTTTTATTACAACTGAAGGTAAGAAAGTTTCTTGATTGTGATATAAAATGGGAATATGTGGCTGGTGAAAGCTTAATGTTGCCCCTTTAACAACCATTTTTTTTAAGTATAAAACACGTTTCTAAAGACCCAGACAGGAGCAGACACTGCATGGAAACTAACTGTGACCAAAACAGGAAAGGACACAAAGTGAAGGGGAATGGGTGTGGATGTCTCTCTGAGTGTTTCCCACTGACTTCATTCATCACAGTTAACAGAGTTAGACAGACATGCAGCAGGACAGCAATCTGCTGCCTTCGCTCAGGGACTGACCTTTGGGCTCTTACTGCACAAAACAGCAGGACCAAGAAGAAAATCTCCACTTTTTTTTTTTTTTTCCAAATGTTAAGAATTGTTATACTCTGGAGACGTCACAAACAAGAAAGATGGAGGTGAGTGAGTCATTCTGAAATGTTTGTTTGGTGTTAGATGAAATCCGTTGCACTGCCAGTACAGTAAAGTAACCAAATTCCACTTTAATAAATGCTTGGCTAAAGTGTTTCCAGCTGTTTTAAGAACTAAGCTCCTGGCAGGACGTTTGAAAGATAATTGTTGTGGAACTGAGGACACAGTAAATATTTTTCTCTGCTACTTTCCACACTCATGTCAGTGTGAGCTAAAGAACCATGTCACCACTAAATTGGCAAAAGAAATGAGATGCAGTGATATCCTCGGACATTGATGAGGAATCAGGAATGTGAAACATGCTGTCCTCTCTGGTCAGCAGAAAAACATGCTGGAATTCAAGCAATTAAAATATGTAAGTGTGGAATCTAGATATACTCCAAGTAGTTTTTTACTTGCACTTTACAATGAGTTGTTTTGTGCTGGGTGTATTTATCTGAAAATCTTAGTGAAAACAATAGATGGTGTGATCTGCAAATGTTTGTTGGGCAGGAAGTTGGATCTCAGGATGTTTTTGGTTTCCTCCTTTTCCGCCTTGAACAATGGCTTAACAGTTTGATGCCAGCTTCATGACAGACTTTTAATCCAAAACAAATAGCATCAGCAAACCCTGTAGTCTTAAAAAGTCATAATTTAGCCATAAAATGTTGAATTATTTAAGGTTATTTCTTGACTGGGTCTCCATAGGATTCCAAAAGAAGCAGATGTAACAGCCTTGATACCAGCTCCCTGTTTAACAAGGATGTGCTGAGCCATGGTGACTTTGTGACCTTTGACCTTGAAGCCTCTGAGCCTCTGATTGGCCATGAGCCCACACCAGCAGAGGTGGCTCAGTGTGAGGCAGAAGTAAGCACCCTGCTCAGCATCATCGCCGATCTAAACAAGAAGATGGGGTCGCTAAAGGCTCCGAGGTGAGTAAAGTTCCTGAATAAATGATTTTTCCAGACATAACGCATGATTCAGAGTATGACTCGTATGAGGGGTCGACTCTTCCAGTGATCCAGGAGACACGAGACCGCCGCGTCCGTCCAGACCTCTGGTTCCTCCAGACCTTCTGTCTCACCGGCTGCTCAGAAGCAGCCCAGAGACCAGCTCTGCTTCTGCCGCCGCATCCAAACATCCAACAACCAACCAAGGTGGGCATGAGGAACTGCTGTTCGTACTGAGCTAGGAACAAACATGTTACGCTGTCCAGCTTTGTGAAGTAAAATGCATTGAAATGTAAATGAGGAACAACACAACAGATTTGAATTTCAGGAACTGAAAGCAATGCAATGCTGTTTAGTCAGTTTGAAGTTAGTTTACAAAACAAAATGTACTTTTTACACAACAGACATTTTAGCCTATTTATGACCCTGTACTGTGTAGACAACACAATCATACATCAATCAGGTCATATCCAAAGGGAATGTAAAGAGACCAGTTACCAGACATGATGTTGGACTGTGGGAGGATGAAGGCAGAAAAGGTCAGTCAGAATTTGAACTCAAGACCTTTTTGCTTCAAAAACACAACATTTTACCAAGTAGTTTTGATTTAGTTTGTAGTGCAAGTATCTTGTATTTTAAATAAGACAAAATTTACATAAGTGAATTTCAGCAAGATACAGGAGGTTGTTTTAAATCCTTAACATTGATTTAGAAAGCATTAGCTCTACTAGCAGACAGGTTCACTTATAATGTGGTGAAAATGTCTTGTTATAAGTGAAATAATCTGCTAATAGAAATAGTTTTTTTTTTTTTATCAGTATGAAGAAATTTAAAAAATGACAATAAAAAATAAACATTTATATGGATACCACTCTGGGTTTTTTTCATAGAATTTTGTTGGTTTTTTTTAACATATTGAAGCTGGTTACAGATTTTAAATTAACAGGGATCTAAATTATGGATCTTCTTAAAGAGAGTTGTCTGAGCAAAAATGGTTCCATACAGTTACCCTAATGAAATACTATAACTATAAAGTACTCTATAAAAAAATTAAACTTAAAATTAAGCACCAGAAATAAGTTTATTTCTATTTTTAAGGGGATTGAACGTTGGAAAACGACTATTACAAATAAAAGTACGTCACACAAAAACAAAGCAAACCCTAAACGGCTAAAAAGAAGAATATTAAATACTATCTGTGCCTCATTAGTTTTGCCTCTTCTACATAAAACATTCCCATATCCTTTCTGATAAAAAAGCTATTACTACCAAAGCCCCTAAATTTGAGCTGAGAGCTTTAAAAAGTTACTGCACCTCTGCTCTTTACCCGCTAGGGGGCGGGGGTGTCGTCTGGACACAACTGCAGGAGGTTTTGTCGTCAGTGGAGGACTCGATCAGCTTCAGAAGGACGTGGGCCGCTCCAATCACAGCCTCCGACCAGAACAAGGATACGGAACACCTGAGAGCTGCTCAGGAGAACTGGACCAAAGCCACACAGGTGATGATCTGCAGGGAAACATTTCTGACATTTAACCTGACATCAGAGTTGGGCAGTAACTAGTTACAGTTACTCAGTTACATTTAGCTGAGTAAAGTTTTGAAAGACATTTTTGTTTTTTTACTGCAATTGCCTTTTTAATTTTACTTTAGTAATATTATTATGAAACATAGCTGCTCTTACCCAGCCAGCACACCTAGGTGGGCCCCATATGGGATATAAGTGGGCAGGCAATATGGGTCCAAAAGGGTTTGTCCACGGTTTCCATGGTGGCCCCACATGGGTTTGCCCAAGTAGATTTTAATGGGTGCTGACTGGGTTTTCAGTGGGTCCACATGGTTAACTCACATGAGGCCCATCTGTGGCCCACTAGGGTGCTGTCAAGAATATTTACGTGGGTCCCCATTGGGTCTGAACTGGGCTAGAATATGGGTACCAAGTGGGTTTGCCCAAGGTTTCCATGGTGGCCCCACATGGGTTTGCCAAAGTAGATTTTAATGGGTGCTGACTGGGTTTTCAGTGGGGCCCATGTGGTTAACTCACATGAGGCCCATCTGTGGCCCACTAGGGTGCTGTCAGGAATATTTACCTGGGTCCCAATTGGGTCTGAACTGGGCTAGAATATGGGTACCAAGGGGTTTGTCCACGGTTTCCATGGTGGCCCCACATGGGTTTGCCCAAGTAAATTTTTATGGGTGCTGACTGGGTTTTCAGTGGGTCCCACATGGTTAACTCACATGAGGCCCATCTGTGGCCCACTAGGGTGCTGTCAGGAATATTTACCTGGGTCCCAATTGGGTCTGAACTGGGCTAGAATATGGGTACCAAGTGGGTTTGTCCACAGTTTCCATGGTGGCCCCACATGGGTTTGCCCAAGTAGATTTTAATGGGTGCTGACTGGGTTTTCAGTGGGTCCCACATGGTTAACTCACATGAGGCCCATCTGTGGCCCACTAGGGTGCTGTCAGGAATATTTACCTGGGTCCCAATTGGGTCTGAACTGGGCTAGAATATGGGTAACAAGTGGGTTTGTCCACGGTTTCCATGGGTGGCCCCACATGGGTTTGCCCAAGTAAATTTTTATGGGTGCTGACTGGGTTTTCAGTGGGTCCCACATGGTTAACTCACATGAGGCCCATCTGTGGCCCACTAGGGTGCTGTCAAGAATATTTATGTGGGTCCCTATTGGGTCTGAACTGGGCTAGAATAGGTACCAAGTGGGTTTGTCCACGGTTTCCATGGTGGCCCCACATGGGTTTGCCCAAGTAAATTTTTATGGGTGCTGACTGGGTTTTCAGTGGGGCCCATGTGGTTAACTCACATGAGGCCCATCTGTGGCCCACTAGGGTGCTGTCAAGAATATTTACGTGGGTCCCAATTGGGTCTGAACTGGGCTAGAATATGGGTACCAAGTGGGTTTGTCCACGGTTTCCATGGTGGCCCCACATGGGTTTGCCCAGGTTGATTTCAATGGGTGCTGACTGGGTTTTCAGCGGGACCCAGATGCCTTAATCCTGTAGGAACAATTCTCATCTAACCTGGATGTGAATTACATTCATAGATATGCAATCTTGATCAACAATCCAAAGTCTAGCTTAAAAACGTGTTCAAATAAAAAATAAAAAAAAAGAGATGAAAAATTTATTTTGCTCAAGGCTTTTATTTAGTAATTTAAAATATTGTCAGGAGTTATTTTTTACCTCACTACAGCAATTATTAGAACTTCATTAATACTCAGGGAATGGTGCCACAAAAAGATATCTGCAATTATTCACGACATCTTTGAAAATAACAGAAGCTAGTTTACTATAACAAACTTATAAACAGATCTATAAATATATATCTATAGATGCACACAAATAAAGACACCCACATATTTTCCTACAGGTCTATAAATGTATACATCTAAATACTATCTATATAACTTTATACACGTATATTCACATTGATACACACAATGTGAATATACACACCTATATAGATCTTTCACAATACATTTTTGTTAAACATTTTTAAAAATAACCTACATGCCATATGCATGCTTAAATTTGAAATCTCTCATACTTTACTGAAACTGTCCATCTTGAAAGACCTCCCCAACCTGAGTTTGAACTGGCAGTCTCTCTAGTCTATTTCCACTTCCACTCGGGCTCCAGTAAACCACTTCGAGAGTCTTTGCTGTATGCTTGTGTGATTCTGTAGATGGATAATTTCTTTTAAGTCCCCTGAAATAACAAGCAAAGGTAGAAATTGTATTAGTGTTTCATTTTAGCACAATGTAACATTCATGAGATTTGCATCTCCCCCTTCATGGGGCAAAAATGCTTGCAGAGATATGCCATAATCAAAAGGACTCTTGAGTCATCATTATGTACAGAAACTATATTCTTACTGTAAATTTAAAATATATCCATCTATATAAATCAACTACTAGGTTCTATCGTGGTTTTGTGGTTATTTTAATATTGTTTGAAATGCAAACAATATTACCTTCAAATTTTTAAGTTCTTAACAACAGTGAAAGAATACTGTTCAAAAAACCAAAAATTGAAGACTCAATTTTTAACCTAAAAACATTACTAAAAATAACAAACAAAAGCATAAAACAACCAAAATAAATTAACATATGTTTAAGAAAGAAAAGTGAAAAAAAAAGTTACTCTGACAATAAAAACTGATATTTACCATGCAAAACATCAAAGAGACGCAGGTCCAAGAGCTTGTTTCCCATGTTGGCCAAAAAGGTTGAACTGGACTTCCAGTTCATGGGACATGAGGAATCGCACAGCTGGTTGTATTGTGTCATCTAAGGATGCTCCTCCAATTTCTGTAGCCATGGCAACCTTAAGTACAATGACAATAACAGGACAACATTTTGTTTTTGTTCATCAGTTTGTTATATCACTCTTATGTGCTTAATTTTACTAACATATTAATCTACCTTTTTCAAATCATTATAAAGTGATCTTCACACGCTGATCCTCTTGAAGCCTGCAAAAATATATTTTATTAGTGCAATATAACATTTAGACTTTTCAAAAAAATAAAAAAATTAAGGCAAAACAGCCTTTGTAGATTAACTACTGAAGCCTTATATTGTAAACACTGAACAGTTTTGCAATTATCCTAATTTCTTTGTTAACGTGACAGGACTAAGACAGTAGTATTACTCTTAAGAGAAGTTTAGAAAATCACTATAAATGTAACTAATAAAGCCTAAAACATTGTACATATTAAAAAATTAGAGCTACAATTAAATATAAGTACATTTCACATAACTGCTAGCTAAATATTGCAAAAATATCAAAAAGAATTTCTTCATCTTTCAATATTTGTTTCAGGCTTGGCCACTGATTGACATGATGGGTTTCAATTTACGGACCCACATGCAGTAACCACACGTTGGATAGGGATGAGTGAGTGATTTATTTACAACAGGACAAAATAAAATCTATTTCCCGGACATCAGCGGAAGGGTGAGGACCACTCGACCAGGTTGGCCTGAAACGAGAACTTAGTTATGACGGGCTTAGAATGAGTGATCGGAGGGGAAACAGGAACAGGCTTACTTCGGTGCGGGTCTTTCGAGGCGTGGGTGTGAGATGCCAGGTTCCTGAGAGAGGGTGTGCAGCGGTTCCGAAGGTAAATGCGAGGTGGGAATGGAAGAGAGCTGGAAGCTCGAAGGGTGGAGTGGAGGCAGTGGAATCGGCGGACGAGCAGGCAGGTATTCACTGGTGAGTTCTCGAATGAGGCGACAAAACCCTAGGATCGAACAAACACAGAAACCAGGTGACTTCTAGTAGACACAGAAACGTTCTCAGAAAACTGTTCACAACAGGAGAGGCCAGAGTGACTACCGGTGTATGCAACCATCTAGCATACACCAGAATCTTCAGTCAATCTAGCGTAGACTGAAGATTCTGCTGCTCCTCCACCTGTGCCAAGCTCCACGGGCTCCTCACAAAGATCCTCCCTGAAATAAGATGCGACACTCACATACACACACAGGAACCCTGACACTGATGACTACTCTAGACCAACACAATAGCGGCAGATTGAAATAAAACTATGACATAACAAAACGCTTAAAGTGTCACACAACAATTAAAAAAAGAATTTAAAAATATGAACTACAATGCCTTCATCCTATTTACAAAAAACCTTTTAGGCCCAATATACTGAAACCACATGGGCCCCATATAGTGTTCCCATTTCTGTCCCATGCCCAGTTAGCCCACGTTAATGCTGAATTGGGCCCATACATTTAACCCAATTGAGCCAACAATATGAGTCCCATTTCGGTTAACCTTTTGAGCCTCACGCAGTTGGCCCAGATAAAACCCATGCCCTCTTATCATTACCTATATAGCCCAAAGCTAAACGATTCAATGCAGTTTTATTGAAAAAAACGACAATAATAATCTTGCATGGGTCCCAGCCAAACCAGCCTGAATCCATACATGAGACCCACCCATGCATGCTGATGTGACTGTGAGAAAGATTATTAAAAGCCCAAGTACATAGAATGAAAGCACAATAGTTACTCTTTTTAAATCATACAAATGGTTTTATTGTGTCCAGACACTTTGTAACAACCTCTGCTAGCAACATAGATTCTTCAGTGAACCGATTTCATTCTGCCTCGTTGGCGCTCAAATGAACCAATGGCAGCTCAACAAATAGAATGGCGGCGGTATTTGAAAATGGTTTGGCCCACAACGCTGCGTTTGAAATCGGTCTGCACTAAAATCTGCTTATTGTGTGTAGCTGTGTGTGTTAGCAATATCAGAAAAAGTATCACCCTAAAGAAAAGCAAAAATAACAATAACAATTAAGTCTCTTTGGGATACTGTCGTCCGATTTGTTACGAGCAACAATTTTTTTAACAAGCGATTTAAAATATCTCCCTAAAATTTGGTACTAGGTAAAACAGAAGAAATGTACTTACAGATTCTTTCGTAGATCAGCCAACAGGCAGACTCCGCGCCAACGGACTGATGAGAACAGGCTTGATTTTGAAACCGCATATCCATCCGCGGGTCATTTTACGTTTTCCAAGAAACACAAGATTCATTTTTGAGAGTGCTACATCGGTTTAACAAATGTAAAACCGATGTAGCAAAAGTTCTCAATGTAAATAAATACATTTCGTTGTCCTCCTTATTCAAATATGTTTTGGAACTATTTTCTTCAGTGGATGTGTAAAGTGCCTACCGGTACTTCAATTCACCAACCTTTATTGGCAACGGTGCCTCAGAGCAAACAATGAACAAAAAGGTAATTGGAACCAAATGAATCATTAACAGAAATGTTACGTTTTTTTATTTTTTTTTTATTTATACTGATGACTTGGAAATGTTTGCAAATATATGAAAAAACAGATGCTCAAAATTTTACTCTTGTCTCTCACTTGCTAATGAGTTTTGTTTATTTTCTAAACATTTTGTGATATTTTTCACAATGGTCTGATCTGAACTATTTGTCCAAATAAAAATTTAAATCTTGCTGCGAACAGGCTGCAGTAAACTCTATGGATGTCTAAACATCCAATTGATAAAAAATAATAATAAAAATAAAATAAAAAGTTATTATTATTAAAAATAAAACAAGGACTAAAGCTCAACCATGACCACTCTGTGCTTAATTTTGAGTAAGCACCAGAATATGAGTTTACGTATATATTTCAAACAGATTATTTCAAAAAAATGTTTTAAGACATTCAGACTGCAATAATAAAATGAAAAAAAAGTTAGGGGTTCAAAGTGTAGCAAGAGCAATACTGAACTGGCTTTTGCTTTGACATACAGTGAAAAGTTTGAAAGTGACAGGGTAACCACATTGTCGATTAAAATGTTCTACAATTTTGTCCCATTTAGACCATGAAAAAAAGTACTAGGGGCTACATTTTCCTGCCCAGGTCCAACCCATGTATGGTTAGCCCATGCTCATGTCATGTTAGTTTAATGTGGACAGCCCACATTGGGCTTCTCATGTGGGGCCCATGATACTGAAACCACATGGGCCCCAAATAGTTTTGCCCATTTCTGTCCCATTTCCAGTTAGCCCACATTGTTGCTGAATAGGCCCATACATTTAGCCCAAATGGGCCAGCCCATAGGGGTCCCATTTTAGTTAACCATATGTGTCCCATGAGGTTTGCCCAGATAAAACCCATGACCACTCATTACCCATATGGCCTACTACAAACCCAAGGGGGGCCCACTCATGCGTACTGGCTTGGAGACTGGACTGGACTGTTCTAGCATAAAATAATAACATGAAAAAATGTTAAGGGTTCAAAGTGTGGCTAGAGCAATACTGAACTGGTTTAAAAAAATAAAGCATTGTAGAATTATTTTTAATGTTTTAATATCCTGGTCCTCTGGAAGCCTAGTGTTTGTAAATGAGCCAGGCATAGATATCACACAGTGAACATGTTTTAGGTTCAAACATTAGGAAGACATGAATGTTCTGTTCTATCAGCAAAATATATCCTTGGGTGATCTCCAAGACGAGGTCACCTTCGTCCTGGAGACCTCGACAATGGTCAAGGTCACCAACCTTTACTATCGTCGAGGTTTCCTACATGGAAAAAATTAAATTCTACAATTTACCTTACATCAACTCCATTAGAGGCCAGCTGAGTAACAATTGCCTTGGCAAAGACTATAAAGCTGACATCTCGGGTAATTCTTTCCAAGTTTTGAGAATCTTGCTCTTGCAGCTTTTGCTTTGACATACAGTCAAAATTTTGAAAGTGACAGGTTAACTACAGGGGTTGGACAATGAAACTGAAACACCTGGTTTTAGACCACAATAACTTATTAGCGTGGTGTAGGGCCTCCTTTTGAGGCCAATACAGCATCAATTCGTCTTGGACAAGTATGGGGCCAAGGGAATGCCATGATATGGCAGCCCACACCATCAATGATCCACCCCATGCTTCACTCTGGCATACAACACTCTGGCTGGAATGCATCTTTGGGGCTTCTCCACACCGTAACTCTCCCGGATGTGGGGAAAACAGTAAAGGTAGACTCATCAGAGAACAATACATGTTTCACATTGTCCACAGCACAAGATTTTCGCTCCTTGCACCATTGAAACTGACGTTTGGCATTGATACGAGTGACCAAAAGTTTGGCTATAGCAGCCGGCTGTGTATATTGACCATGTGGAGCTCCCGACGGACAGTTTTGGTGGAAACAGGAGAGTTGAGGTGCACATTTAATTCTACCGTGATTTGGGCACCGTGGTTTTATGTTTTTGGGATACAATCCGGGTTAGCACCCAAACATCTCTTTAAGACAGCTTCGTCTTGCATCCACAGTTAATCCTGTTAGATGTGGTTCGTCATTCTTGGTGGTATGCTGACATTACCCTGGATACTGTGGCTCTTGATAATCACAAAGACTTGCTGTCTTGGTGAACAATTTGCCCTCTTTTGAACTCCAGTATGTCCCAAATAATGTTATGTGCATTGCAATATTTGAGCAAAACTGTTGGACCTTCACACTCTGCTCTTACTGTTGCAATGTGCAATTCATGAAGATTGGCCACCAGGCTAGTCCAATTCAGGCATGAAACCTCCCACACTAAAATGAGAGGTGTTTCAGTTTCATTGTCCAACCCCTGTACATTGTTCTACAATTTTGTCTCATTTAGCCCACTTAAAAAAGGACTGGGGTCTACATATCCACACCCAGGTCCAACCTGGGCGTGGATATGTACTGACCACACTGAACCCTCAGTGTGGTCAGCCCACATGGTCTCCCCATGTTGGGCCCATGACATGAGCCCATGCTCATGTCATGTGGGTTCAGTGTGGTCAGCCCACATGGTCTCCCCATGTTGGGCCCATGATACTGAAACCACATGGGCCCCACATAGTTTTGCCCAGTTCTATCCCATTCCCAGTTAGCCCACTTATAAAAGGACTGGGGCCCACATATCCACACCCAGGTCTAACCCATATATGGTCAGCCCATGCTGATGTCATGTGGGTTCAATGTGGTCAGCCCACATGGGCTTCCCATGTTGGGCCCATGATACTAGAACCACATGGGCCCCACATACTGTTGCCCAGTACTATCCCATTCCCAGATAGCCCACTTAAAAAAGGACTGGGGCCCACATATCCACACCCAGGTCTAACCCATATATGGTCAGCCCATGCTGATGTCATGTGGGTTCAATGTGGTCAGCCCACATGGGCTTCCCATGTTGGGCCCATGATACTAGAACCACATGGGCCCCACATACTGTTGCCCAGTATTATCCCATTCCCAGATAGCCCACTTAAAAAAGGACTGGGGCCCACATATCCACACCCAGGTCTAACCCATATATGGTCAGCCCATGCTGATGTCATGGGTTCAATGTTGTCAGCCCACATGGGCTTCCCATGTTGGGCCCATGATACTAGAACCACATGGGCCCCACATACTGTTGCCCAGTACTATCCCATTCCCAGATAGCCCACTTAAAAAAGGACTGGGGCCCACATATCCACACCCAGGTCTAACCCATATATGGTCAGCCCATGCTGATGTCATGTGGGTTCAATGTGGTCAGCCCACATGGGCTTCCCATGTTGGGCCCATGATACTAGAACCACATGGGCCCCACATACTGTTGTCCAGTACTATCCCATTCCCAGATAGCCCACTTAAAAAAGGACTGGGGCCCACATATCCACACCCAGG